AAACCCCGTTGCCTTCTCTGTCCCCATATCTACTCCAGCGACACCATCACAGGACCCAACCACACCATCAGGGGCTCATTCACCTGCACATCTACTAATGTGATATATGCCATCATGTGCCAGCAATGCCCCTCTGCCACATACATTGGCCAAACCAGAGAGTCTCTACATAAAAGGATAAATGGACACAAATCAGACATCAGGAATGGTAACATACAAAAGCTAGTAGGAGAACACTCAATCTCCCTGGACATTCAATAACAGATTTAAAAGTTTAAAAAAAAATTCAAAAAAAAGAAGACTTCAAAGAGAACCTGAGAGCTAAAATTCATTTGCAAACTTAACACCATCAATTTGGGCTTGAATAGGGACTGGGAGTGGCTGGCTCACTACAAAAGCAATTTTCCCTCTTTTGGTATTGACACGTCCTCCTCAATTATTGGGAGTGGACTATATCCACCCTGATTTAATTGGCCTTCAACATTGGTTCTCCACTTGTAAGGTAACTCCCTTCTCTTCATGTGCCAATAAATATTTATAACTGTATCTGTAATTTTCAGTCCATGCATCTGAAGAAGTGGGTTTTTTACCCATGAAAGCTTATGCCCAAATAAATCTGTTAGTCTTTAAGATGCCACTGGACTCCTCGTTGTTTTCACAATTCAAATGGCAATCTGTGGGAACGAGGTCTCCTAAAGGGGGTGCTGAAGGTATACAAATGTGTGTTTTGTTTTTCTAAGGGCACTTGCCAGAACACTGCTGATGCATCAAGTGTAGAAAAATAGTTGGCATCATCCATCTCCCCATAAATATCTTCTTCTTTTTAGATTACAGTGGGAAATTTTTTTTTTACATATTTATTTAATTCTTTGGGTCTATACATAAGTGAAGGGTTCAGTCTTTTTTTTTTCTATCCTCACCAATGCATGCACCCACTCTGCTTGTTGTTTTATTTATTCTTTAGTTCCCAGAGAAACAATCCTATCCAGCTCTTTTTTTAGTCTCTGCCTTAGGGTGAGTGGAATTGTCTTAGGGGCAAGATTTGTGAAGCAATTGAGCTCTTTCCGCTCTATTTTATACTCTGCTGAGAGCTTTTCTATCATCTGGAAGATGTCCTCAATCTTTTCCTCAAATGTTTTGGTCCCTTGCTTCTCCAAAGAATTCATCCTCTTAATAAGACCAAGGGTTTGAAATACTTCTAACCCAATAGTAGGTATTCTTTCCCCTGGTACTATTACAAATTGTATTTTTTCCAATTTTTTGTTTACCTATACATCTAATCTGCATCGCCAATATAAATAATCTCACCACACTAAGCCCTTAGTTTCACCTGCTTACCTTCCACTACCCAGGGCTTTTCTTTTAGTACTGCCAACACTGTTTCTGGCGTCATGTTGGCTTGTGCACCCATGTCCAAATTAAAATGAATAAATGTCTCATTTGCTTTCAGGGTAATAGTCCATTCATCTTCTGCTGCAACACTGTCCATTGCTCCTTTGAGGAATTCAGCTGAGCTAGTGGTGCTATCATTGTCTTCCTGGTCCACACTATGCATGCTCTGCTGGTGCTTGCAAACTCTTGCAGAGTGATGTAACCCATTGCATTTCTGGCATCTTTTCTCATATGGTAGGCATTGTCCTCGCTTGTGCTGGTTGTCCTATCATATGCAACTCCATGTGCTGCTTTTGCTGGACTACAACTTTGAGCTGCACATGCCTTGCTGGCTCAGGTTTCTTTTCAATCATGTTTAAAGTGTCAGAGCACTGCCCACCATCCACAAGCTTCATTCTGGACAGGGTGACTTCCTTTGCTTGGCAAATTCTAATTGCGTAGTCAGGGATTAATTCTGAGTCTTCCAGTAGTCTCTCCCTGAGTTTTTTTGTTCTGGATTCAAATCACATTCTGGTTTCTTATTAGCGACTATAGTTTCATTTTCTTTTTGTACCCTCAGGTTAAAAACCTCTCTCTCATAAGTTTAATTTTCAACTGGAGTCCTCAATTTTTGGTAATGCAGTTTCTTAGCCTTCTTTGCCTGAGTTAATTGAAAACTGTTAAGCACACTGAGTGAATCAGAACTTGCTATTATCAGAAATAAGGCTACCTTCTGATTGTCTTCCTTTCCAGTGGCATTCATTATTCACCAATAAAAAGTGAAATGCTGTTTAAATCTCTTACCGTTGTCTTCCATATTTCCAGAGAGTTTCAGCTCTAGTGAAGCTTTTAGCTGCTCTATTCTTCCACTCAGGTTAGTTTCTTTAATTGCTATTTTCTCCTGGTGCCAGGTGGTGTTCAGTAACAATCTAGGCTCAAATTGCTCAAAAAAGATTCTCTTTATTTAGCAGTTCCCTGACTGCTTCTACAGCATTTCTTCCCCCCGCCCCAGACATTCTTTCTGCTGAGGTAGCCCACTTAAAAGTACACCTCCCAGTATAACCTCTTGAACAGACGCCTTCCCATAAAGTAGGGAATCCTTTTGTCTTCCCTTAATTCAAGTCCACTACCCACCTAATTCTTAGTTTGTGTACAGTTGTGGTGGCTCCCAAAGTGTCACTGGAGGAATTCTGAGTAGAAAGCTTATGCAAATAAAGCTCTATCTTTACCCATACTTTCCCCTGCTCATTATTAAATGGCGGTCGAGAGCTTCTTCCCTTCTGGAGCTTCTATCCATCTAAAATTCGGGGTAAATAGCTTATGCAGATGAAGCAGCTCTGTGGCCCTTCTTATCCTTGGTTCACCAAAAGATGGTAGGAGAGAGCTCCTTACCCTTTAGAGCTTCAGGCCACTGGGTTTTCACATGCATTTGCTACATTATATCCTTAAAACAGATGTCACTACTACAGCACCCCATTAAATCATGTTTTCTTATGAGAGAGAAATTTTATTTATATAAAAAGGATAATATATGTAATTTCTTGTTTTAATAAGTCAGTATCCCCTGAGAATTTGGCAAGCAATTGTTTATTCCAGTTTTCTTGTTGTTTTCAGATCATCTTGATAATTTTACATGTCACAGGATGTGAATGAGGAACAATGGACCAGATTCCTGAACTGGTGTAAATTGGCATAATTCCACCGACACCAAGGGAGCTATGCCAATTTATATCATCTGGCCCATTAATGCTCAGAAATTAATGTTTAAATGGTGGTTTAAAGTATATCTAAAAACTTGCAGTGCTACTAAATGCCCATTAGCTATTCATGAAATTATTACATTTCAGATAATTCTGGATTTAAAAAAAAAACCCTTCTCTTCAGAATACTGATCTCAAGTGATTCTTTAACATCAGAGCTAGTAGTTAAAACCCAGAGCTTTAGTACCTCAGAGAGTGAGTGAATGAGATTAATTTATTATAGATACTCTGAAGCACAAGCCAGATTTGTTCCAACCACATCTGTGCACCAAATGAAAATGTGATGCATTTCAACACCTTGATCATAACAATGAATCTTAAAATGAATCTGGATAAGATTTAACTGAAGATTTATTCCTAACTAGCTCATTCTCCGCTAACATGAAAGCATCCCATTAAGATGCATATTTCAAGTTTCAAGAGTCAAGAGTCCATGATTCCATCCAACTCACGAGCATCTGGACTTTAATTTCTGAGTGCAACAGAATGTTGTCTGATGTTTTCAGAAGCTTAGTTTTAATTCTTCAGCTTAAAGAAAAACAA